TCTCTCTTCCTGTGGCAGCGACTTTAGCTGCTTCTCTGCATCTGCGACCGATATCGCCATGCACTGTGCCGACGCCGTGGGCCTTGGCACGGATCGTTCTACTGGCTTCCTGGCAGTATCACCCTGTCGTCCGTGCGCGACCTGGTAAGACGCGCCGTGCTCCTGTACCTGGCGCAGTGACATCCCGTAGCACTGCCGTTCGACCAGGTACGTCTTCATCTCAGGTCCGCATTGCTCCAAGATTACCTGCTTTGCCATTGCTTGCAGCACCGGGGACATTTTTCCTATATCGGAGCTATACTTGGTGTCCACCTCGCCATCTTCTGTCATAGCGAGTGTGGCCCACACCTCTACCTCTCTGCAAACACGGACAACGTATTGATGAAACGACTCATCTGACCGCTGCTTGCCTGTCAGCAATGTCTTCCACGCTTTATCCGGAGTCTTTCCGAGCGAGGCAAGCAACTCTCGTTTTGCTTCCTCGTAATTATTGCATCCAATACATATCCTCTCCGCTTTGCTACCCGCTAGCGCAATGCGCAGTCGCAGCAGCCATTCGCTTTCTTCGAACTCGTTCTTGGAACAGATGTCCTCGAACAGGTCAAGATAACGCTCCAATGGCTGCGTTCCATCATATGAGGGGATTTTCATCACCGGTTGACGCCCACCGCTGTGACTGGGAGATTCCTCTGTACCTCCCATCGTGGCTTTACCCTCACCCTCCTGCGCATTGGCGATGCGCTCGTTAATCTCCTTTAGTGTTTTGGCAAACTCGGTGCGGAGCGCCTCCTCTCGCCGTCTGGCACTGCGCTCCTCACGCTCCGCGTACTGTTGGAGCCTCTGCTCCACATGTACCTTCAACAACTCGCCTTCTAATCCTAACCGCTCTCCATTGTCGATAAAGCTAGCTTCCAAATTGTTCCATAGTTCCTCTGCCATGCTCGCTCCTATCCTGGCGTGGTCGCCAAATGTTGTGAACCCTGCAAGATTCTCTAAATTGTCAGGATCGTACGACCACACGGCACGAGGACAACTCTTTTCCTTTACACAGTATATTTTACTTCATCTGATAATTAACAATGAACACTAATAACACCAGCTATTTATAGCATGCAAAAACAGCGTACATGCAAAACATAAGCAGATAAAACTGGACATAACAGCGTATACAGCAAAACGCACACAACGCATATAGCGTATGCCATGCAGCAACATCAGCGGTACGGCGGAGTCGAAATACAACATTTCAACGAATACAATGCCATAAGCGCGAAGGCCTTTCCCAATTGAGAACTGGTGGTTTACAACAAGTGCTGTATTCTTTACTGCGAAAGCCATCCACTTGTTGGAAATGCTTGTGACATTGTGTTCATTCCAATGCAGTTGTATCCCGACTCAGCCGTACCATTGATGATTAGGACGTAGTACTTGGTCCGGCTCATCGCAATTGTCGCTTATCTCCCACGCACTTTTTGACGGGCAAAAGCCAGTCAGATCGCTTTTTCTGACTCACTTTTGTGTTGGAAACTGTGATGGCAAGATGAGAGAAGTCTTCTAAGAAAACACCACCACGATTGTCGCGAGTGGCATCGCGCATGGCGGGTTTAGCTACACCAAGTAGCAAGCTGACGTGCGCACCTACACCGCGAAAGAAGTGTGCAGATGTGAAAACGCCAGATCGCTGGAGGATTGTCACCGCGTACCTTGAGCTCTGCAAGGGCCGTGATCGCCTGCCACGAGGTTCTATGGCCAGTCTGAAAGCTCGTTTTCCTCACCTCAATGTCACGGAAAGGACGGTACAAAGAATAGTCGACCTGTACAAGACGCAAACTATGGACGCGGAGGCTGCGGGGAAAGTCCGCCTCACACGTCTACGTGCCAGCTTCTGTGGAGGCCAAAACATTGTACTCACCGAGGAGCTTGCGAAGAAGTTGATTGAAATCAACGACAAGCATTGGGGTAAGCTGTCTTGTAAGAAACTTGCAGGCAAGCTCACTTGCGCTGGCTTCCCCAGCAGCACATCCTCCGTGAAGCGCTGGTGCAAAACTCAGGGTGCGACACACCGTCGTCGCTACATAACACCACTTCTCAGCCCCAAACATCGGCACGATCGTCTTTCTTGGGCGATCGAGCACTACGAAAAGAGCAGGAGGAAGTTTGTCGACAACAGCAACATTTGCCACGGGGATGAGAAGTGGTTTTACCTCATGAGAGATGGTACTGTTTGCCGTGTGTTCCCCCAAAATGTTGCAAACGAAGATGGAGTTGTGGAGCAAGTCGTGAACATGCCAGCTGATCCGCGTGTGTATCACAAATCGCGGATGCCAAAAGTGATGTTTTTGGCAGTCACAGCTAAGCCGCGTGATGCGTACGAGTTCGATGGCAAAGTCGGTATCTGGCCGTTCACACTACAGCGAAAAGCCAAGCGCAGCAACCCGAAAACAGGAACTGTCGCTGGCAAAACTGACATCCTCAAGAGTGTCCCCGTGACTGCCGAAGAGTACAGGAGTGTCATGCTAAAGAAGAACGGTGTGTTTGATGTCATGAGAGAGAAGCTATGGTGGTTCCATCGCGATGCAGTGACTCCTGAAGCTGGCAAGCCATTGTTTTACCAGCACGACGGAGCCAGGCCCCACGCCGCGAAGGCAAATCAACAGCACTGAATTCGACATGGTGCGAAGAAAGGTTTCAACATTCGTGTTGTTACGCAGCCTGCGCAGTCACCCGACTTGAACTGCAATGACCTTGCATTCTTCGCAAGTCTTCAGACTGATGTCAAGATGGTGGCGAAGAGAACTGTGACGGACCTGGTGGCGGCAGTTGAACAGTCGTGGTCAGAATATCCAGTGGACCGTATGGCAGCTGTATGGAGAGCTCTTTATGCCTCGTTCAAAGGCATCGTGGAAACGCCCGGTGACAATAGCGACAGTCACCACACAGGGAGCCACGCTGCCCACAGTTCTTCAAAGCGCAGAGGTGACAGCCACAACCGCTTCTTTCCAATCTCTGCTATCCGCCAGGCTGAGAAGGCGAAAGAAACAATGGCCCAGCAGTTGGACATGCCAGCAACTGTCAACTCAAGCGACAGCAGCTCCAGCGATGCTTAATCGGATGAGTAACTCTTGTCTTGACGTGTATGTATCTCGGGTGGTTTGAAAAAAACTTGCTATTTTTCGCTACCTTGCCGCCTTCAGCAGACTCGCTACGCTCTGTACAATTGCTGAACCTGTTGTATCTCATTTGAATGTCTTTATGAGTTGTTTTTCGGTACCGTAACGGCTGGGTTTGTCATAAAGCGAAGCAAACTTCAAGTTTTGGACTGTCAAAGATAAGCGACAATAGCGATGAGCCAGACCAAGTATACGCTACATGCGCTATGTGCGGTTTGCTGTGTGCGCTGTAGTTGTATGCTGTATGTGTATGCTTTTCTCATATACGTTGTCATTTTCACGCTTTGTACGTGAAGTGTGCGGGTTACAGTGAGGTCTGCGTCATACCAACCGGTGTAGATTCACAAAAAGAAAATGTTGAAAGGTCTCTGCTGAGATGCTGTCTACACCATACCTCAGTGTATACAGCATCGCTGGCTACAAGTGAGGGTCCTTGGTTCGAGTCTTGGTGGTGAAAGTCAATTTTTTCTTCAGACTGTTCCCATTTGTGTCTTACACTCTAATTAAGTGAACTCTTCATAGCAGTAAAACAATAAGTTATATTATAGTTTTACTCGGATAGTGAACCCATTTCATATTTTATGGTAAAAGAGGAGAAATGCAACATGTTATGAGTTATGACTAACAGTCCAAAAAACATGACCAGATCATATGCAGTCAGCGAGTGCGACAAAATGGAACAAAACTGACAAGCAGTGCTGAGACATTCAGCAACCTGACACCTAGCTCGAACACTTCTCCAAGGCGCAAGCTAACCACGTTCCAACTTGGAAGGCTCAGGTTCGGAAAGGTCACAAGGGAAGGTAAATATATTTTTGTAGGATAGAATGACTCCACACTCATTTATTCTATACAGTCATACTAACTTGTACACCCTTGAGAAATGCCTCAAATTCAAAACCTACGTACAGTCAACTTCACTAATAACCACTGCGGATATAACGACAATTCTCGAAAAACGACATATTGTTCATGCCCAGAGCAAAGTCCTATCCAACTGTGACACATAATGAGACTTCAGGTATAATGACACTTCGCGAGCCGAGCCGAGTGTCGTTATAAGCGAAGTTGACTGTATCTCAGTTTCTCAGCCTGAGTGACGTTTACCAGAATGAAAGTGAAAGAAACCCCATGACAGTCGCATCGCCGATGGTCGGTACAGCAAAGGGTTATATGTTCAAAGATCTGCCATGGTGTTGGTAATCACAACCGGCTTATTAGCTGAGAAACCAGATTTGTGGCAAGCAACAACTTTGGCCACCCACAACATGCCTTTTGCAAAGAAGCCGCTCGTGGCTACGTCGAGTGGCCATGTTCTTCCTTAGCAGACGGATGGTCATTCGTTGCTGCCTACATACAACTGTATCTGATACAAGGCTGCTCTTGGTTCTGCACGGGTTTCGGTACAGGGTGGATGAAGAACCACTTTTGCGCTTACGTTCGTTGCGACCACCCCGTGAGCGGCATCAGATACGGGTCATAAAGGGTTGGGAAGGGTACCTCAGATCAACCAACAAGATGCCACCAGGCATTGGTGGATAATGCTGGAAAAGGTGACAGATTCTGCTCGAAAGGCAGTGAAATTGGCAGACCCATACGAACCTTATGGCGGGCAATTCCTCGAATTCTGCTCCATTTCTTTATCCACATACCAAACACAAATGAAACTTACCAGAAATGGTACCGATTTCTGCCTATTTTTCTGCCGGCATTATCCGCATATGCCTAGATGCCACATAACGAAATCCCATTCGCCACATCCTAAAAGAACAGAACTAACGTTACGCCCAAAATAACGCCTTTTTACGATACATGCACAACATGACTTACAGGGATTCTAATTCGGTTGTCGCGTTGAACAGCCCGGCATGTAGGTGATCAAGTTTGTTATCCCAGAAATACCTGGGAGAACAAAGTAAATTTTTGATAGGATGTATATCACTTCCTGGAAAAATACTCTTTATACTGTGCTATATACATTGGCCACATCTCAAAATAACAGAACTACGCAAAAATCTCTTTTCCGATACATGCAAACCATGACTTGGATAATAATTATTTACATTGTACGCGAAGTGTGTGTGTTACAGTGAGGTCTGCGTCCCAACCACCGGTGTAGATTCACACAAAGTGTAAGGTGCGAAGTCTAAAGAAAATATTGAACGGTCTCTGCCGGGATGATGACTACACCATAGCTTTATCTCTGATATTGCTGATACACCCAAGTTGGGTGGTGTGTTGCTTTGCTGCTTCGAATTGTAGTCAGACCGCATTGTCATGACAAAATAACTGGTCTCGTCATCGTCCTGTAACATTCGGCATTCTTTCTTGCCGCGGGACTTGGCTTCTGCACATTTTCGCTGTGCTCACCTTCTTCTCTTCGGTCCTATGTAAGAATTAGTGGTTCTGACTTCGGTGATAGCGTGAGCTCCGGTGTGGGGAGCAAACCATTTCTTACAAATCATCGCCGAAGTCGCAACCACTACTTCGTACTGTTGTGCCCAGCGTGGGCTTGCGTCTAGTTGGTTTGGAGGTGACAGCGTTGCGAATGACCGCGGGCCCTCGACGTCTGTCTCACCGTCCAGGAGCGACACTGACTCACGCTGCTATCTGGTGTTCACGAGGTGTTTGTCCCGCTGGAAACGGAGCGTCTTTGTAAGTTTGAATCCCTGGTGATGTTTGTGCCTGGAGAGCACTATATAAGTGGTGCTCTTCAGGCACAATCTTCCTCAGCCTACTCAAGCTCAACTGATGAGGGGTGAATTCCCTGAAACACTGTGTATTGAGCAGGGAGTGGTGCTTTCTTGCAGGTTTGCCGAGTCGAAGGTTCGATGGACTTCTCGTGTGCTCTGGATGGCAGTCGTGAGTCAGTCAAGTGTTAAGTAAAGTCGGCGGAATAGCGCGAGCTCCGGTGTGGAGAGCAAACCATTTCTTACGGTCCTATGTAACCATGAGCTTTCCAAGTTTGAAGGCTGTTAGTTTGCGCACTGGAGATGTGTTACAGCTAGGTCTCGGGTCGCTGAATGTCTCAGTAGCCTGTTAATTTTGTGCCCTATTATAGCATTTTCTGACCGTTTATAATTTTGTTACAGTCGTGGAAAGTTGCTGCATAACTCGTTCTCATGTGTTTCTTCTCTTTTTTACATTTATTACTGGCTCAGTATCCGAGTATAAAACAATAAGTTAAAACAATAGGAGGACAGAGGAAGTGTTTTTACTCAGAGTTTCACGCACTAAGCGATCATCAGAAAACAGTAATTGGAAATCTGGATCAGTATTGGTTTATATCCCCACAAAGCAAAGTGTAAATAGCTGCAGTGCAAAGGTGACAACCACTGGAGCTGGTTGTCTCTTACTTAATTAGGTGATGGCTGTAGCTGGTTTAAAGTTCGGAAGGTAGTACCTATTCTCATGGCGACACTTCGACACAAGCTCACACCTTTTGTTGAGAGAGAGGTGCTTGGGTGCTTGCGCGATTGTCAATTTCTCTGCCAGGCACAGGTTGCACCTTTTGCTTTTGTTGCTGTAGGCCGCTGCTCTGCGGTGTACCGCCCATTGAATGCTGCAAGCCTTCCCTTCATCCTTCTTGGTCCAGACGTACTGCGATAGGCGGGTGTCCTTCTCGTGTTGTCTGTGGCGGAATGCGGATTGGTGGTTATAGTTGCGTTGTTTGAATGTTGTTGCTGTTAATCCAGTATATTCCTTCTTCTCCATACCTGCGGTGACTCTTGCCTTATATACGATACTCTCCGTTAGACACGCTCCGTTCAGTGGACACGAGTCTTTCGCCCGACAGTTACAAGTCCTGGTATCGTTGTCACCTCCGTTAGCTTGTTTCTTGGGTCGTAGAACCGTGTTATTGTGCTGCTTGATGATAGTGGCCATATTCTGCATGCAACTGTAGCTAACCTTTACAGAGTTCCGGTTGAAGATTTTGTTGAGGCTTGAGCCTTTGGGGAAGTGTTTGGCCACTAGCTGGAGGAAGCGATGTCCAACGTTGGTGGCGACGTTCTTGCTAAATGGTGGGTTGAACCATATGATGTTCCGAGGGCAATTCCTTTTCTTCTTCTTCTTTGTCTCGTACGTTTTACGCTCGTCAAAATACTGTACGTTCTCCCGGTATCCACTCTTCCTCAGCGCGTCACTGTAGATCGGAGTCGCATCTATGAAGACGTCTTCATCATTGGAAATATCTGTTAGTCTTCTGCTGATCGATGCAGGTAGGTTCTGTATGATTGTAGGTGGATGGTTTGACTGGCAGTTGATGTACATCGGCTTGTCGTTCGGTTTCCGGTAAGGGCAGTACTTTCCGGTGGTCAGGTCCAATGTCACGTCCAGCCTGGAACCTCTCTGTTTTAAAACAATAATTTTAAAACAATAAGTTATGATTTTAAATATGTTTACTTCGAGTACTCGGATAGTGAGTCAATTTAATATTTATGGTAAAAGAGGAGAGGACAACATGTTACGAGTTATGATAAACAGTCCACCAATGTGACCAGATCATATGCAGGCAGCGAGAGCGACACAATGGCACAAAACTCACAAGAAGTACGGAGACATTCAGCAACCTAAACCTAGCTCGAACACTTCTCCAAGGCACAAGCCAACACACTTCCAACTTGAAAGGCTCAGGTTCGCACATATCCAAGAGGGTAGGAAAGCATATTTTCGTTGGATAGAATTACCCCACCATTCTTCTATGCAGTCATACTAACTTGTACACCCTTTAGAAACACTTAAAAACCCATGTATGTGTTTACAGCTGCCTGCATGAACTTGATAGTCCTCTTCTGCGAGATCGCTTTACTTCTGCTCTTGTTCTGCCCCCGCCCCCCGACACCTGATATGGCTTCAGTGCGATCTCTTATTTACGCGTTGACAGATGTTAAAGGGGAACTGTCACCAAAAATTCTCTTTGTCTTATCTTGTAGTTCTTTGGCTCCTGATCAGAATGGTGTTATTCTTTTTTCTCTGCGATGACTGGAAGTGGGTGAAAACTTGAAAAGAAGGTCCCCAAAATTGTCCCGAAGTACCGAGTGATGTCACGCCGGACTTGACCCCCACGCGTACATTCATCGTCAACCCGTGTGCTGGTCGATCGAGCCAACTGTTCGATATACGGTGCATACTTGCCTTCTGAACCCGGGTACTGATGTGTACGTTGTACACAATGAGAATGCCAAAAAGGGACAAAACAAACACAAGTCGACAGCAGTTTGTCGCACTGGTACTTCCTCCACGAAGCTCCAGCTCTTTTTTTCCGTTGTGATTACGAAGGAGTGGAAGAATGTTTGTCTGCTGTTAGTGTGACACACATACCTCGTACTTGAAAATTATGTCGTTGTATCGAAGGTGGCGGTGTTGCCCACCCGGCTCTGAAATGAAAGGCGTTGGAGTTTGTCATCTGCATCTTCAGCAACATCGCCAGCTAAATTGCCTTCAGGTAGCTACATTGCGTTTCTTTGGGGCTCGGGTTGGTGGTGTTATCGCCGGCCAGAGGAGTACTGTTTTCTGCATACGCGCTCATCATCGTGTTGTTCCTCACACGAAAAGTTCAAAACAACGACGTACTTCCGTGCTCACAAAATAAAACTTAGATCCTCGCGGAAGAAGTCAAAAAGGTGAAAGCTCAGCTGCTTTTTATTTTGATTTGGCTGTGTAGCTGCACGTAGGTCTCTGCCTCTTTGGCATTCTCCTTCGGTACGACGTACCCATCTGTGTTAAAGTTCAAAAGGCACACGTGTACTTTACATCGGAACAGCTAGCTCGATCGACCAGCACACGGGCTGGACTTCGTTTTTGACGACGAATGTACTCGTGGGGGTCAAGTCCGGCGTGACGTCACTCGGTACTTCGGGACAATTTTGGGCACATACTTTTAAAGTTTTCACCCACTTCCAGCCATCGCAGAGAAAAACAGATAAGACCATCATGATCAGGCGCCAAGGAACTACAAGATAAGACAAAGAATGTTTTTGGTGACAGCTCCCCTGAATGCCATAGGGAACTTGTAAAGACACTATCTCAGCTCTTTGCTTCCAAAAAAGAATCCAGCCACGGAATTCCACTTGGAAAAGTCTTCCACGAGCGGGGTCAGATTCGAGTCGTAAAGGGTGGCGAGGGTACATCAGATCAATCAACGAGATGCCAAATCGCGAAATCCCATTGGCCACATCTCAAAAGACAGAACTACGGAAAAAAATGTTTTTTTTCCAAAACATGCACACCACGACTTACATGACCTTTATTCTGGTTGTGGCGTCGAACAGCCCGGCAGGTAGGTAACCCAATTGACAACGGCTCAAATATCTGGGAGAACAAAGTAGAACTTGGATAAGATTTTTTTTATTGTTATTATATATATTTGAGGGATGACCCAGAGGCAGGTAGCCATTTGTGGGGTTCTCAACTGGTGCGATATTGAATAGGTAGCATAACAGGGGGGGGGGGGGGGTAGAATAAAGTAGCCAGGCACATGGAATGAGACAATAAAACTTCAAAGGAAAGTGCGATGTGCAATAACTGCTGAGGTGTAGGAATGCCAGTGGTTTTATGGGCATGCTCATGTGTATATAGACGTAATTTCTTCTTGAATTCCTGCATGGAGTCTGTAGGGGTTATCTTTGGTGGTAGACAGTTCTAAAGTACAGAAGTTCTAAATAGGAACATAGACTTTGATAACGATTCCTATTTAGGTGAAATGATTAGAGCCAGCCCAAGCGAAAAGGGACGTTATCCCGCTGCACGTGATTTTGAGAAAATTGTACTTCAAGTAAATCAGCTGATTTCCGGCTGTCACGTTCGGATCGAACTTGAAACTGTGCGTTTTTCTGTGGTTATGTGAGGGATACGTGATTTCTTTGGAGCAAATTCACTATGTCGATAGGAGAGTCAACATCCTACAGCTCCTGTAGAAGAAAACCCTGTCTAAATCGACCCACATACCACGCATTGGCGATCAAAAAAACAGGAACTTGCTTTCAGCCCAGCTGCCTTCCTCCCTTCGCTTTCCCCTGAGTCATTAGGTTGGCGTAGCTACTCACCATGAGCTACCGTAAACGTTTCACCGTTAAAGAAGTGCTGAAATCTCTCCTAGCCTGAGAGAAGTTGAGGCTGAATTTTTTGGTCATAGAAATATTATCAACACCTAAGAACACCAAATTAGTGTATATGACTACTCCTTGCCAGATTTCGACTTCATATTGCATCCTGATGATGGCAATTTGCTGAAACGTTGAAAATTATTCTGTGAAATGAAATGAGTTGTGAATTTGCAGTGCCCAGGGAATGAGCATGAGTGCTCGCCAGTTCTCTTCGAGTTATGAAGCTGCAGGATGCCTCACCGCTACTTCGATATATTTTTAGGTGCTTGAAGTCGCTCATATGTTGCTCAGACGAGTACGATCTGATTCTTCGTCAAGGTGAGACATGTCGCAGTCGATCCACGTCGGTCCCTTGGAGA